GTTTTCTAGAGGATGACTCACAATGTGCTTAGGAGGAGTTATATTGCTGAGTGAAAAGCCATGTTTTACTGTCTTTGTTTTTTATTATGTCTTTTGTGTTTTGATTTTTTGATATTAATATTAATATTGTGCTTTGTATACTGTAATTTTCTGTTGTGAACCATCCTGAGACTTATGGGTATAGGGCAGTACAGTGGTACCTCGGGTTACATGCGCTTCAGGTTACAGACTCCACTAACCCAGAAATAGTACCTCAGGTTAAGAACTTTGTTTCAGGATGAGAACAGAAATCGTGCTCTGGCGGCGCAGCTGTAGTGGGAGGCCCCATTAGCTAAAGTGGTGCTTCAGGTTAAGAACAGTTTTAGGTTAAGAACGGACCTCTGCAACAAATTAAGTACGTAACTGGAGGTACCACTGTATACAGATTTAATTAATTAATTAATTATTAATAATATATTCTTTTTCCTTATTGAGTATAATGAACATAAGAAGAATCCCGCTGCTGAGACCTCATGTCCGTCTCGTATTAAGACAAAAGCTGCCCAATTTTAATTGCAAAAGCAAAAAATAGATTTCCTTTGCTAAAACTTCTCACCACAACTTCTCACCATTAGAATCAGGTTCCAAGCAAACATGCGTATGTAGGCGAGAATTTCACACGAAGTCTGATTTTGCTGCAGTAGTTTTCTGATAAACGGATGACATTATTTCGTGCTATATATATGTTGCAGGGAGTGAGTACTGAGAAAGGAACAAATCCTCTGTGGGCATATGTGAACTGGTTCCAGTCACGTGAATAGCTGTGTGCTAATTTAAGTTGACAGCTGTATCAAAATGGATTAGCGCCACCACTGCCAAACTCTCAGAGTTTAAACTTTCCACACATATTAAACGTGAAGGAGAATTTTAAAAGCTTGAAATAATTTTATATAAGCCATTTATCTTGTTTTCCTTGAACCCTGGGAGACCCCAAGACTGCAGATTGCCACATTGCTATTATTATTATTAATTATTATTAATCCCCCTCCACCAGCAGGTCCCAGGGTGAGTTATAGCAATTTAACATTCAGCATTCAAAACAGCTAAAACAAATTACAGTCACAGAAATAGGATGGGGATCCTGAAAGCACACTGCACAAATGTTCCAAGCCAGGGTAAAGATGTGTGCCTGCAGTGGGATGTTATATTATTTGTGATATTTAGGTTGCGGTTGTATATGAACTACTTTGGGAGTAAGTATCATGGAAGTCAATAGAAACTATCACCTATATAGTTTTTTAAAATTAATATTAAATAATATAAGTATGAGAAGTCCTAGGGAGCCGGGAAGACGTGGGCCTCTGATTGTGTATTGTAGATTAAGATATAAGGTTGATAGAATATAACATTTTGTGTTTGTGTGCGTGTGTTTCTTTTTTTCTATTCCTCTCTCTTTTCTTTTCCTTTTTATTATTTTCCTTTCTTTAGATAATAGCTTTGTTTGGTTTTTTATGGTATTGTATCTTGAAAATGTTTAATAAAATCGATTCAAAATTGAAACTGTCTCCAAGGAGACCTACATTCGATTTTTCTGTAAATATGGGGGACAGTTTTAGAGAGGGAGGAGAATAAGGTAATAGGGCAGATTGAAGAATGTCTTAACATGTCTGCCTGGAGTAAAGGGGGAGCAGGAAGCTGCCTTTCATACATGTCCCATCTGAAAGGCCTTATTTGGAAAACGTAAAAGAGAAAATTAATGAAAAAGTTAATGGTTCCTTTCATTTGTCTACTTGCATCTTTGCTGCGTGTGCAGTCCCACACTTAAATATTTTGTTTGTTTGTAACATAACAGCCCAGTTTAGCTCGTCTCCACCCATTGGGTGTGAATTGGCACCTCCACATTCTACCTAGGCACAAAGGTGTCACAATTTGCATAATTTTGATAGCTTGGGAAGAAAGGGTTGACTATCTGAATGACCGATGCTAAAAGCAAGCATTTGGATGCATCAGGTTTCTTATGATTAAGGGAGATAATAAAACAGAAACGGTCAGCCTGCCTATCGCTGACTATTGAGACCCATTTGTCCCAAGGGCCTGACCTGGGTATCTGGACTGCATACAGTCTGGGGCCAGAATGCCTAAATCTCTCTTTCCCCTCCTTCCGTGAACTTCACCTTGAGATCAGGTTGAGCAAGCTCCATGTCGTGTCCCACTGGTATCGGAGGTACTGTATTTTTCGCTCTATAGGACGCAGCGGACAATAGGACGCACCTTGTTTTAGAGGGGGGAGAACAAGAAAAAAAATTCTCCCCCTCTCTGCCCAGCGCCCCTTCAGCGAAGCGGCAGGAGGCGCTGCGCAGAGAGGGGGAGAATTTTCCCCCTCTTGTTTTCCCCCTCTAAAACAAGGTGCCGTTTAAGGTGCGTTCAGTCGCCTTCAGGCGGCTACCTTGGAAGCCTGGAGAGTGAGAGGGGTCGGTGCGCACCGACCCCTCTCGCTCTCCAGGCTTCAGGTTCCTTTCGACCTGCTCTTTGGGGCTGGCGGGGGGAAGCCCACCACCAGCCCCAAAGAGCAGGTCGGGGAGCAGCGGAAAGGTGCACAGCGGAGAGGCTGCTGCCATAGTCGTGCGTCACCTCTCCAGCTGGGAGAGGGTCGCGAGGCTATGGCTTCTTCGCTCCATAGGACGCACACACATTTCCCCTTCATTTTTGAAGGGGAAAAAGTGTGTCCTATAGAGCGAAAAATACGGTATGTTTGACATGTGGGAGAGAGCCTTTTTGTAGCTACAGTCAGATTTGTAATGGTTTTCGGGTGTCTTTTTAAAAGACCTGTTTATTCCACCTGACGGTTTTGTCTGCTGCTCTATCTGTAACTTCTTGAACTGATTTGAATTTCTTTTGTGTTCTAGATGGGTAGTTGTTTTGGGCACCTTTGGGAGGAAAACCAGGGTATAGGTTGATGATGGATAAATTTTTAGTTTCTTGCTCCTGGCACCTCACCACTCTCAGTACAGTTTTCATGATGTATTGAGATGGATGGATTATCCCCAGTATATGAGTGTTCCTCTAGTCTCCCTCTGCTTTAGTTTAATGTGCTGTAGCTTTCTCCCAGGTGTTTGCCGGTGGCATTTACAGCACTGCAGAAACCTTTGTTTAAAATCTTGTCGTCCAAAGCAGCTCTGCACAGATAGAGCCCCACCAAGCCAAATGCAGGTTGTTGGTTATCTACTGTGGTCTCCCTATTTCTGTTATCACAGGCAGGCAGCAAAAAACAAGAGAGTTCTTAGTCTCTAGTGGGGTGAAATGCGAGGCAAGGGGGCGTATGTTCAGCTTGGCGGCTTATATGCTGTGTAGGCTTGATCTGAAGAAGCCTTTAATAACTTGGTGCCCACAAGATGTTTCAGAAGACAACTCCCAGCATCCCTGACTCTTGTGTCTGGGGCTGTTGGGAGTTGTAGTTGAAGGTTGGGGGAAGGCTGATTTTTCAACATAGTCAAGAAAAACTCATCTCATTCATAGAATGTCTGGAAATGGTGCCACAAGGCCCATTTTGCATGTTAAAGGTAAAGGTACCCCTGCCCATACGGGCCAGTCTTGCCAGACTCTAGGGTTGTGCGCTCATCTCACTCTATAGGCCGGGAGCCAGTGCTGTCCGCAGACACTTCCGGGTCACGTGGCCAGCGTGACAAGCTGCATCTGGCGAGCCAGTGCAGCACACGGAATGCCGTTTACCTTCCCGCTGGTAAGCGGTCCCTATTTATCTACTTGCACCCGAAGGTGCTTTCGAACTGCTAGGTTGGCAGGCGCTGGGACCGAGCGACGGGAGCGCACCCCGCTGCGGGGATTCGAACCGCCGACCTTTCGATTGGCAAGTCCTAGGCGCTGAGGCTTTAACCCACAGCGCCACCCACATCCCATTTTGCATGTTACATTATTGTAAAATAATTTAGCCGTTCTGAGATCTCAAAGTAACATCACCATGGCTTTCAGAAACAGCGTGACTATTTACTTTTCAGGCACCTCAGGAGATATAGATTGAAATAACTGCCATGGTGTCCAAAATATTACTTATGACAGCATGAATGATTGAGATTTTCCCTCTGGCCATATATACTTGGATAACACAATCCCTAGAAAACTTTATAAAAGCTGCAGCAGGCAATGTCTTTATTGGGACCAGCCAAAATGTCACAAACAATGAGCCCAGGAAGTTCCTGAGTTTGAAAGACTTCACCATGCCACCTTGGAGTTCCCTGGCAAGCCTTGCCCCATTGTATTTTGTGATTCCATTGCATGTCACAATGTGGGCAAAATGTTGGGAACAAGCCTTTTCCATATTGAGTCACATTGGACACAGGAAGGGGATGGATAAGAAATAATCTTGTACTGCAGTTGTAGCTGCCAGTAGCTGTTCTCATCACAGTGGATGGGTGTATGGCAGAAATCCCTGTAAATAAGTAGATTAGATGAATACATGAATAGGAATTTTGGGTTCTGCTAGCCATGGTAGCCAAAATGCAGCCTCAGTTTTCCGAGATAAACCGTCCTTATCTACCATATGTTCAGGATTAAGATTAGGGAATGGGTTCCACCATTGTGTCCTCATTTGAGCATCCATGAAACAGATGTGCGGCCGTTGTTGATGGGCAGACTTCTGTGGTAGATGAACCATTAATTTTATCCGACATGGATTTTGTGCTCTGAGCTTCCTGTTCCTTCAGAAGTGTCCCAACAGTGTGATTCCCTCCAAGTCAAGAAATGATTGTGGAGAATTACAGAATCGTAGACTTCATTTTCTGGCTTTATTCCCAGCAGCCCTTGCTCAGGCCAGAGTAGACATCTGGCTTATTCCAAGTGAATTGAATCTGAATGTTGTATTTTTTTAAATTTTGTTTGTATTCTTTCTCTGTGTGTATATTATTGAAGGGTGGTGTACAAATTCGTCAAATAAACACAAACACATGTTGTTGTTGTTTTTTAAAAAAATTCTTACGCTGCTTGTTTATATTTTGTTTATTTATTAGGGTGATCAATGCGGGTAAAAGTACACACAATGAAGACCAGGCCAGTTGTGAAGTACTTTCAGTCAAGAAGAAAGCAGGAGGAACTAATTCCACACCAAACAAAAACTCCTCTACTAAACGGAGGTCTTCGTTGCCAAATGGGGAAGGACTGCAGCTGAAAGAGAATTCGGTAAGTTGCCGCTTCCCTCTTTAATCTGTCCACAGTGAAATGGTTGCTTCACTTGCAGAATCCTTGTGCAAGTAGCCTAAGCTGCAGTGTTCTCTCAGTAAAGCACATGTGTGTAAGCATGGCAGTTGTGGATAGAATGGGCAATAGTTCCCATTCTTTCCAGCTTCTGGTGCTGTCTTTGATTGCTCAGCTTGTTTTGCACCCCTATGAACAATTGTGTTGAAAATGTGGATTGACTTAGAAGCTCTGGGTTCAGTCCCTGAAATGCTTCCAATGATTGCTTCAGCTCATGATGGCCTCCAACTTGGACGGCTTTAAAAGAGGATCAGACAAATCCAGGGAGGAGAAGACTATCGACGGGACTTGCCATTGCACTCATTCCTACCTCTGAAGTCCACATCAGCCTCTGGTTCACCCCTGTGAGAACGGGATGTGGGGCTCAGATAAGCCTTTGGCAGAGCTCTTCTTATGTGCCAACCTGGCAACCTTGTCCTGTACTTACAGCTGCTCCAGAGCTATGTTTTGAAACTTAGTATGATAAATAAGGGTTAGGTGATTACAGCTGGTCATTATAGGTGGCTGCTGTTTTCTTTGCAGAGGGTGAAGCTCTGCTTAGGATGCCCAGGTTGTAAGGCTCATTAGCTGTGAGCAGAAGCTGCTGTTCGCCTCCATGAGTCACCTTAGCATGTATGGAGCAGTGACATTCAAAATTACGTATGGTATCCAACTAAGTTAGACCCATTTGGTTTAATGGACATGCTCATTTAAGTCCATTGGTTTTAGAGCAGCTACTCTTCAGGGTGAGCAAGTTGGCTACAGCTCTGCAGCTTTTGCTCCTGGTGCATGACTTGAGGTTCATCAAATAACAAGTGCAGCCAGAGACAGACGCAGCTTCTCCCTTTCCCCCCGAAATGCCAGTTGACCTGGGGCCAGCAAGAGGGAGGAGACTCTGAGCTTGTTTCCCCCCCCCCAAAAAAAAACACTTTTGAGAAATTAAAGTCTCTAGCCCTTGTAGAATTAGAGATAATAAGCAAAATATGTGAAATGAATCTGGTCCAGCCTTTCATTGCTTTTAGAAAATGAGAGTAAAGTCACAGCTGTGATTGCTGAGTGCTGTAGAGAAATTCTAGAATCGCAGGTGTGCCAGGAAAGATTTTTAAAAATGGCCTTAACCAGGAAGTCCCTTCTCTAAACAACAAGGACTTGCTGATTCATTTTGAAGCTGATCTTTGTTTTTCTTTGGTAAAGAAGTGGCTGTTGCCCAGAGAAAACAACCAAGGAATTCAAGATTTTAGTTTAGCTATGCCCACCCAAAACCACAAGTTAACTGCAAACACAGGAGTTTGTGTGCTCTTTCTAACCAATTTAATTTCATTCAGAAATGTGATTTCCCCCTCTTTTGAGTATGCAAACATAAAAAGAATTGCCACGCACGTCCAGCACATTTTAGTATATCCATATATTAGGGGGACATTGCAGCAGAGAGAGAGCATGGGCTATGTCACCCCTCCTAAATAGCCCAATTTTGTTATACAGTGGCAGGTGGATTGAGGGTGGGAGGAATGAGAGAGGAGTGTACGACAACCCTGAAGTGTAGTCTGGTGTTGGCTTTTTTTTTTTTTAAAGGAAAATGCAGTAAAAAACAACAACTGGCTTTGCATGATTTAGGGGTAGCACTGGTGCAGAGCAGGGCTCTTGTGCCTGAAAGTTCTTTGACAGGCAGAAATGCAACAGGTTAAATTATTTCTAGTACAGTGGTACCTCTGGATGCAAACAGGATCCGTTCCGGAGCCCCATTTGCATCCTGAAGCGAACACAACCCGTGCCTGCGCGTCCGCGGGTTGCGACCTGCCGCTTCCGCGCATGCACGTGACGTCATTTTGAGCGTCTGCGCATGCGCGAGTGGTGAAACCCAGAAGTAACGTGCTCCTTTACTTCCGGGTCACCGTGGAGCGCAACCCGAAAATGCTTAACCTGAAGCTACTTCAACATGAGGTATGACTGTACAGAAATACAGTTATGGAAAAGTTTTAATTTGCTGACCTCATTGTCAGACATCTTAGTACTTTTGTGTAGCCTCATTTTTTTTTAGTCCTTTTACCTCACTCGCTAATGAGAACACAATTTTGCCTAGAATATAAATCATATGCAAATCTGTGCCCTCTTCTGCTTTAAACCCAGAAGATCTTTCTCACACACCTGTTTCTATGTGTTGTGGATTTTTTGAAGGAACGTCTTGTCCTCAAATAAGATTCAATAGTCTAACTTAGGTAACTACCTTACAAGTGTTATCTGTACCTTTGCTGTTCCATGGTTCATTTCCCAGTTCTCTGGGTACCTCATTTGAAAACCGGTTAAGAATTTAATATATGTATAGATGATAACATGCTTTGAAATACATAGCCTGAGTTTATTGAGCTTCAGTGTTTCAGAAGAGATTAGCTTTAAAATATGATTGCTGCGAAACGCTTGCTGCTAGAGGGCAGTCTTGTTCCAGAAGCTAGCCCATTTCACTGGGCTGCCTTTTTAAAAGAATCTGAAGCTGGCCTTCTTTGTGTGCCACATTAATGTGTGGTAGCACAGGAGTGAGACATTTCATTCTGCGTTTCTTGCTGAGATATTGTTGCATCTCTCAAAACTTATTAAAGCAAATGGATAAAAACCTGAGGGTTGCAAGCACTTAGGAGAAGTCTCCCAGCGTGACATCAACTAGCAGGCAGCCTCACAAAGATTTTTTTTTGGGGGAAATCTAGTAGCTTGGAAATGTACTGGTTTACTCCTTAAAGCAATTTTAAGTACTGTGACATGTGCTTTTTTCTTAATTATGACACACACCCCCTGTATTGTTAATTCTCTTCGTTCAGCCAAACTTAAAATTTTGCATTTTACTGTTTTTTTGTTGCTGCTAATAATCTAATTTTTATGCATAGTTATCATATATCTGATTGATCTTGTTTTGTCTTGGGTTACTCCAATCTTGTTTCATAAAATGAGGCTTGTGTTTTTATTTTTGGTCATAACCTGCTTTGAGGGCCTTGGGTAGAAAAGCAGTGTATGAATCTAATTGTAAAATAAAATTGTGCAATGAATTGTCACAGGCCAGGGGATACTTGGTCAGATGCACACAGTGAGTGTTTATCCATATTTATTGAACTATGCTCAGAAAATCAAACCCTGCATGCAGGGTGTGAGTCTTGTTGACCATGCATGCACTGGGAGTAAGTCTCGTTGACCTCATTGGGGTTTAGTTCTGAGTAGACCTGCCAGTTAGCAGGGATGCGGGTGGCGCTGTGGTCTAAACCACTGAGTCTCTTGGGCTTGCCGATCAGAAGGTTGGCGGTTTGAATCCGCACAACGGGGTGAGCTCCTGTTGCTCTGTCCCAGTTCCTGCCAACCTAGCAGTTTGAAAGCACGCCAAAAAGTGCAAGTAGATAAATAGATACCACTGTGGTGGGAAGGTAAACGGCATTTCCGTGTGCTCTGGCTTCCGTCACGGTGTTCCGTTGAGCCAGTAGCAGTTTAGTCATGCTTGCCACATGACCTGGAAAGCTGCCTGTGGACAAACGCTGGCTCCCTCGGCCTGAAAGCGAGTTGAGCGCTGCAACCCCATAGTCGCCTTTGACTGGACTTAACCGTCCAGGGGTCCTTTACCTTTAGCTTACCTATAAAATACTTTTATAAATAAAATAACACAAAGGTATCACTTAATTGTTTTTTTAAAAACTACCTGGTACTAGATTTACAGGTTTTCCAGTGGCAGAACCACAGTAAAACTGGTTAGTATTGCTGGGTGTCCTGTCTCAGGGGTGAAATACAAAGGGAACTAAATGCCTATAAATGACCAGCTTTTAAAACAGAACATGCTTTTCTGTTAACATACATGATTACGTATGTTAAACTATAGCTGAAGATTGGGATTTATTTTCCCTTTCACAATAGGATATTTATAGGCAGTGTGGTGGTAGTGAAAACGAGGCTAGCGGTTGCTAGTTACTTTCAACGAATTAAGGCTGAGTATCTAAAACCTGACCCTTTGGTATGCTTTCCGTAGTTGGCGGGTGGAGACATTGCAAATACCTTTCTTTCTCTCTCTCTGAAAATTTTACGATTTGAAATTGGGAAATGCATCTGTTTATCTATGATTGAGCCATCCTTGCAATTGGGAATTGGCATTGGGAAATGCATTTGTTCATGACTGGAGCCACTCTTGAAACCCCATTCATTTATGTTGTTGTTTTGTTTTAATAATACTTACGCAGGAATCGGACGGCGTATCTTTCCACTACTGGTCGTTATTTGATGGGCACGCTGGATCTGGGGCGGCTGTTGTAGCATCAAAGCTGCTTCAGCATCATATTGCAGAGCAGCTGCAGGAGATTGTGGACATCCTGAAGAACTCGGCCGTCCCTCCCCCGACCTGCCTGGGGGAGGAGCCAGAAAGCATGGCTGCTAACACCCGAACTCTAACCAGAGCAGCCTCCTTACGGGGGAGTGTTGGCGCCCCGGGATCACCCGCCACCCCTCCGACTCGCTTCTTTACGGAGAAGAAGATATCTCACGAGTGCCTCATTATGGGGGCTATTGAGACAGCTTTCAGGGAAATGGTAGGTGTCTCTTCTGCTATGCTTAGTAGTCTAATGGTAGGATCCTTCTCTGTTGTTTTGGGTACAGCTGGGGGGGGGAGGCACATTTAATAAGTTTGTCTGCTAAAGATAAATAAATCTTCTTAATGGTATTATTGGGCTTTTACTGGCAAAAGGAACCTCCACTTGAAACCTGTGTAACGGTCCTAATATGAGTAATTGTGGGCACACAGTTTGTGCCTTAAGTGTCACCGGTGAGAGCTTCCAAGTTGCAGTCTAAAAGAGGGCACAGAACACTGGTTTAGAGTTAGGCGACCGTCATGATCCATGTGGCAACTATTGCAGTGGTGCACCCAAGAATCTGTGGCCTGGCTCAGTTAACCTAGACCTGTTTTTCTTTGCTGGGCCTACAGTAGACTTCACCTGAAGAGCCCTAAGTTGATGACAGAATATAACCAGAGTTTATAGCCAGTATCTGATGCATTGCATCACCTTCCCCAGCACAAATGTAACGCTGACTTCATCAAATCATGATTTGTACTCCAAAACTAGTTTTGTGAACTACTGTTCCTGTTCCTCATCTCTACTTTATAGACCACTTTTCCCCCTTCCTGTGTTAACCATGTTACATTGGGTACCATTGCAAACCACGGTTCCTCCATAAACCATGGTTTGGAGTAGATTTGCAACCCTGTTCCCTCTTTCCCTCTTGCTCTCTCCCTCTCTCTGTCTCTGTTTTGACTTGGAATGTATTTGTGTGACAAGCTGGAAATTTTATTTTACACATGGAAGCTATGACAAAATGTTGCCATGTTCCCGTCAGCCAACCATTCCCCTCTCTAGGACACTCCATTGTGTGCCATCTGATTGGTTGTTTCTCCCTCCTCTGGCCCTAACAATCAGTCGGTATTCTGTAGCCACTGAGGATTCTCAGTCCTCCTGAGACAGTTTTTGGGTGTCTTTCCAAGAGGGTGGTTTTTTATTTTATTTTTAAATTTTTATTTCTGAAAACCTTCAGGTTCCCCCAAACCTGCTGTTAAATTCACAGTCACCCTTGAACTATATAGGAAATATAGGGAATGAATTGAGTTCTGATTAAACGTGTTAACATTAATTTAGGAAGAATTATGGAGACTAATCAGATTCTGAGATTGCATTTGCAAGTCGTATTGATCACATGTGTTATGGTGGAGAGAAAAAACAGCCCTTTCTTTGTACTTACAGACTTTGCAGAATTTTTCCTCCTTTGTGTCCACTGGCTGCTAATAATTAAATTGTTCTCAGTAACTAAATCATTAAATTGCTTGATAATTACTGTTCTGATCATCTCCATAGGTTACATCTTTTGTGGTTTTCCCTTCTTTGATACTGCTTCAGAGGCCTTAGAGAGACCCTGTTGTTTAAAAATAATTGGGGTTGAAAAATAATTGAGGGCAGAAGCATGAATTAGCAAGATAAAATTAAAAGTTGTTTAAAACATTCATATTGATTGACAATTAAGCAAGAAAACCAGAATATTACTGAACTATGTGGGGGGGGGGGAGATACTGGTTTCACCAGATGAATATAAAAAAATAAGTTAATACTTGGAAACCCCTTGGTAAAAATGCTAGTTTTACATTTTAGGTTTTCTTGCATTCACACCTACAGGAATTTGCAAAGCAGGTGCAAAATCTTGAGGATGCCCTTTTAAAAATGGGCAGTTTTTAGTCCATACAGTTGGATGGGTTTGAGAAATCCACAGGTTTGATCCAGAGGTGGCTTGCTTGAGTAGTTTGGCATTCGTTTCACGGACTATTGACTTGTATACCACTACTTTATTCTTCCCCTGCCACCAATTTTGTGTGGAAATCCCAGGGCTCCCGAGTGAAGTACTGAGTCTCAATCAGGTAGAGTTATCAATGAAGATTAAAGTTTATTTCAAACACAAACAACTTTTAAAATATATTTGAAACGCTGTCACTCTATTCCCTCTCAGTCTTGGCTCGGTCTCTAACTCACTCTGACTCCTCTATCTCCCCCGCCCCCAAGAACCAACTGAACTAACTGTCAAAACCTCTGGGCTGAGCCTCAAAATCAGGTAGGCTCTGCCCGTGCTTTCTCATTGGTCAACCTATCAACCCTTTCTCTCCCCCAATACAAACGTATCTCCAAAGAATGGGCAAACGCCATAAGTAGAAAGGGACTTTCCCACTCATGCAAGTTGGCCCCATGATTTACATTGCCTTCTTCTGCACACATTGATGTATGCGGTCTTCTGTCACTCTCCTTGCACTCCATGCTCAGAACTGGCATCTTGGCGGTCCCCAAGGGCTGCAGTTGAAGAGGAGGGATGTGGGAAAGCTTGCCTTACGAGCAGAGTTCTACCTGTGTTTCTTTGGGTCCATCCTGCCCTGACCCAACTAAGGCGATTCTCTTGGGAAAGCCAGGCTCACACATGTGTGTGAATTGGGCTGATGCGCATCTCTTCCTTGCTGGATTGTTGACCGTAGTTCCATTCTCAGTCTGAAGCATTTGGTCTCATTGCTTTCCATTGGATGTGCCGGTCCTGTGTGCATTTGGATATGTGTTCTCATCCATGTTTTTAGGCAGTTTGTCTTACGATCACATTTTGTTTATGCACAGATAGAGCTGGATTAGGGCCAGTAAATGTAAAAAAGCTCCATTATTTAGGGTGCCTCCTGACTACCCACAACTCTTCCCCTGCGGTACTAATCTCCTACGTCCCGTCCATTACACTGCCCCTCAAAGCGTAAACAAAACTTCACTTGGTTTCCTGAGTTCAGAATACAGTGGTACCTCAGGTTAAAGTACTTAATTCATTCCGGAGGTCTGGACTTGACCTGAAACTGTTCTTAACCTGAAGCACCACTTTAGCTAATGGGGCCTCCTGCTGCTGCCACGCCGCCACCGCACGATTTCTGTTCTCACCCTGAGGTAAAGTTCTTAGCCTGAGGTACTACTTCTGGGTTAGCGGAGTCTGTAACCTGAAGCATATGTAACCTGAAGCGTATGTAACCTGAGGTACCACTAAAGCATGCAGGATCTTTAGGAACACAGGAAGCTGTCTTTATGTACTGAGTCGGGCCATTGCCCATCTAACTCAGTATTGTCTACCCAGACAGGCAGCAGCTCCCCAGGGCTCGCTCTCCCAGCCCTGCTTGGAGATGTGGGGCGTTGAACCCGGGACCTTCTGCATCCAGAACGAATGCTCTGCTACTGAGCTATGGTCCTTGCTTCACAAATGGATGCTGTGTGCTGATTTTAATCAGATTTGGATATAGGAAGCTGCCTCTTTCTGAATCAGCATTGCCTACACCGACTGGAAGCAGCTCTCTAGGGTTTCAGACAGGGGTCTTTCGTGGCCCTACTTTGTAGGAGATGTCAAAGATTGGAAATGGCACCTCTTAGCATGCTACTGCACTGCCACGCCGAATTTCTTGATTTATTTTGCATATCAATATGCAGGGGATTTGATCTTCACTAGAACTGTCTCTTTATAGAAGTGCAGCAAATCCTATTTACATCTTATTTTAACACTGGTGAGTTTTGAAGTGATTAGATGTAAAAGCACGTACAACTAGAAAAAATAATTATTATACCCAGTTTGCGTATTGCCATTTATCAGAGTTAACAACTTTTGATGACTTTAAGCATGCACAGTAACAAACCTGCACGCAGCAGTATTTCCTTGCGGGTCATGTTTAAATGTGTGTGCTTTTATTTATTTATTTTTAAAAGTATTAAAAATAAATTCGGCTAAGAATAATAAACCATTTGACTCACCTCCAGAATGCTTCTCCACGCTGAATTTAACAAAACATACAATAAAAATATTAAAGCGGTGGGGAGATAAACTTAGTGCGTTTGTGATATGAACAACTCCACTAGCTTTTGAGGGCTTTGTGCTTTTATACCTCTGTTCATCAAACACGATGAATACAGAATAAATAGGTTGTCTGGAGGAGCCCTGAAGTGCAGTTCACACTTGAGCCAGTAGGTGGCCTCACTGGGCAGTTTACATCTTGCTCCAGCTTGTGCCTGTCACAAAACCATCACAGAAATTCGTAGAGCAAATGGGATTGAGCCCTCAGTGCTGAACTGCACAGAATCTTATTTGTGACAGATGCTATTAGCATCACAATCCATATACCCTGCTTCAGCCTACTTGGGGACTGCTTGCTGCCAAGTCCTGCCAAGCAGTCCTCTTAACTTTCTCACGTGCAAAATAACTTTCCTATTACTCTACTTAACCTGGTTCCTACTGGATCTAAAAGCATGATTGTGGGGCTTGGTTGTCAATACGAATTGTGTGTCTTATCGCTAGTTGTCATGGCTACTGTTTGTTACGGTGCGTTGCCCTCAATACATTTATTTTCCGTAAGGGGAGTGGGGATGCCCTTCTGGGGCAAGACATGACCTGAAAGGGGAATATGTAGCTAAGGGCCAGGGAACAAACCACTAGCCAGTCTTTTCTCCTGTGAGAAGAGTAGTCTTATAATTAATAACGTTAAATGGCAGGTGACTAATGGCAGTTGCTAAACAAATTGGCTGTTTTTAATATGTGGAAAGCAATGCTCTTGGTTTGTTTGTGTGCATTTTGATCCAGTCTTGTGAATGCTCCAGGGATGTAGTCCACAAACGGCCTGCTTCAGGCCCCCCCACCCCAGGGCATGGAAAAACGAAATGAATAGATTCCACTGTATTTTTGGGGGGGGCCTGCAAAAAGGACTGCAAGTGTGATCTTCTTGTGAGGAAATGTATTTGTCTCCCGTTTGGCAGCGTGCTATGTGTACACAACTCGGCTCTTTTGGCAGCCGTTCAGTATTGATACTCCTGCTAATGTTATGCATTCTGTTCCCTCAGCTATCTTAACAAGATTTTTGTAAAAAAAAGAAAATAAGCAAAAAGGCTGGATATGCACATTTGGCACATGTACAGTATTTTTCCGTGTATAACATGCCCCCGTGTATAAGACGCCCCCTATTTTTGGGGGACTCAAAATTAAGAAAATACACTCAGCACTACCCGTGTATAAGATGACCCCAATTTTAAAACATTCTTTTCACGTAAAAAAAACCTAGTCTCATACACGGAAAAGTACGGTACGTTATACAAGTTTGTTAATGGGCAACATAGGTTCGCAACCTGGTGCCCTTCGGACACGGACAGTAATTCCTGTTATCTCTCACTGTTGGTCATTCTGACAGGAGATGATGGATATTATAATTTACGTCGCCTTGAGAACACCATGTTGGATGCTCCTGCTCGGAAGTAGCTCAGAGCTGGTATTGACTTTTTAGCAAAATGATAGGATAAAATTCAGAAGTGATTCCCTGCACGTGGCAGATACTATTTTAAAGTGCCCCCTCACAGTTAACCCCCCCCAAACAACTCCCTTCAGCGGTCGGGGTGGGAGTGGGGAATCAAGTATAAAAGGGACAAAGTTTTTAAACTCCTTCTGAAGTTTAGCTAGTCTGCTTTCCAGGAGGTGTTTTTTTTTCTTTTTTTTTGCATAAGTAACATTTTAAAAAGTGAACCTCCGCCTGCAGCCTAAAATGGTAGTCCATTTTGCCACTTCATTCCCAACCCTTTCTGCAGTGTGCGTAATGGTAAAAAATATTTAAATGCACCTCTGGTGACGAAAACTTAAGTTATGCTTTCCAGTTGTATTATGTGTGACCATTTGTTGGTCAGCATTTGACCAATTGAGTTTGAAATTTTGTCTTTCAGGTTTTTTTATTTTTCAGAAAAATGTTTTTCATTTATATGGCGTTTGAGAGAGAGAGAGTGTGTGTGTGTGTTCTGAGCTGCCCAGAGGGCTCCTCCTATTATGGCGGAGCTATCTATATAAACGGAGTGAATAAGATAATAACAGCAAATCGTTGCCCTTGTGGCGAGGTGTGCTTTTCAGAAGTCCACCCATTGTGCAGTTTAAATTTTTATTTCATACTTCATGGAGAATTATCATCTTTTCTAAACTCAGGGTAGGAATGACTGGCTTTGGGGACCAAACTAGGTAGAAGGTGAATTTTAACTGCGTTGAAATACAGTGGATAATTTGTCTGAAATGTAAAGAACAGCTGCTGAGAGATTCTTTTGGTTGGCAACATGGCAGGGTGAGAGGGTGCTCAGGTTCCCAACCAATGCCTTTTGTTATATAAGCATTAATTGCGTTGCCTCCAGGCTGCCTCTTAATTGTGGGTGACCCAACATCCACAGAGTACTTCATGCTCTAAAGACAATACCATGGAAATGGTTGGTATGTTGTGCAGAGATCTGAATATTCTAGTGACTTTCTTGAAGCAGTTGCTGGCTTAAATGTGGGGATGATGGGAACTGTGGTCCAAAAGCAGCCAGAGACCCAAGTTTAGGAAACCCTGTTCTAGAGTGTGAGAATGTGACTTGGCTTGAATGTGTGTGTTTCTTTGTCGTTCCTTTATTATACCTTCCTATGTATAAGGCTGCAATCCTGAACTCACTTCCTCGGGTGTAAGCCCCATTGAATTTATAGGACTTAGTCCTGAGTTGAGATGATTAGGCTTGCAGCTTTACCAAGTTTCAAAATGGTTCTTCTTGCTATTGGTTTTCCTCCTGTGGTTTCTTACTTGCCTAAAACAAGTGTGTGTGGTTATACACATGGCTCCAGAATGAGGTAGTAGAATAGACCATACCACTTCAGTCTACAGGAAGAGGGAATTGCATTCTTAGATGTTTCCCAGTGTAGAAGTTGTAATAACAGAGCTGGGCTGTGCCCATGAGGCAGACTGAGGCAGCCGCCTCAGGTGGTGAAATCTAAGGGTTGCCTCTTTGTGTGCCCCCTCCTTGCTGCTGTTGGAATAGAAGTGAGGAGAAGCAGCCACTTCCAGTGAGATCTCACAGGGTTCTTTCAAGATCTTGCCAGAACCCAGAAGCCCTGTGACCCCAATAAGTGAGACTTCAACAGGGGCAGTGGGGGTAGGCAGATGGCACATGTGAGCGGCCACCTTCCCATTTTGCCTCAGGTGGCAAAGCTGGACGGGCAGTCTCTAATAGTAGTAGTAATAATAAAATAATTAATAATAAAAATAATAAAAATAATCATCCTCACTAGCAGAAATCTATTACAGCAAGGAGTGGGTTGGGAACTAGGGTACTAATCTGCTATCTTTTTCCTTGCAAGGAATTATTTTTAACATGCCATTGAAAAATGACATCCCTGACCTGCACTCTGAATTAATACAGCCCACTCCCCTGCTTCCATTCTGCTACACATGCAGACTGGGCTTTCCTTTTGTTCTGTCCATGAGGTAATTGCTGCTTAGCTCTGTATCTTTCTTATACTCCTCCGCCTTTTCCCTGTCAGCTTCTCACTGCCTTCCTCAGTCTCCGGTCTCCTCTGCTATGTATCAAACATTTGTCATAACTTTTTTGGTTTTTCTGAAGCACCTGAAATAGAAAATCCAGCATTGTCTGCTTTTCAGTATAACTATGCTTCAGACGGCATTAACCGCTCACTGGGAAAAGAAAGACAGTATGTGGTTCTTTGCGTTAAATTCTGACAGGTTCTCTCTTTTATTCCTCAGGACTTGCAGATAGAGCGAGAAAGGGCTGTGTACAATATATCTGGCGGCTGTACGGCCCTCATTGTGGTGTGTTTGCTAGGAAAGCTCTATGTGGCAAACGCTGGCGATAGCAGGTAGGCACAATTCTTCACGTTTCTTGGTAAGTTAAGAACATGTAAGAAAAGAACCACGGGCCCATCTAGCCTGGCATCCTGTTCTCACAGTGGCCAACCAGATACCTATAGGAACACAGCAAGCACCTCCTGAGCAGAACTGAACTCTCCTCTCAGTAAGCAGCAGCTACCAACCTGCTGGAAGCTAGCATTATGACTCAGTCCTGTCTGGTGAATGTTAAAATATCTAACCCATCATCTATCAAGTGCTCTGGTGTCCAAACTATCAAAGTGCATTGGTGTCAGGAGTCCTGGAATACAGCAAATCTAGATGAGATTTTTCCTGCTGCAAGGATGGAGCACAGGAAAGTTTTTCTCAGATGGAAAGCAAGTGTCCTGTTGTACAATCCAGGATACATTCCAAAAAATGAGGTGGCTTCTTTTGAACCTGATGAAGAGCTAATATGACCCTTTTTTATTCACACATTAGATGGTCTTAGCTCATTCTTGGCTTTTGACATATAAAGGTAACTGGTTTATACGGTAACAATCTATACCTGAATCTTATCCAAAGTCTCTTACTGTGTCTTCTTGGCAAACGTCTCCTTTCCTGAGATGGGTGGAGGAGAGTACTTTCCAGTGTGTTCTTTTTCAAAGGGGTTGATATCAAGGTCAAAGCATTGATTTTCTGTCATTCGGAAATTGCATAAAGAAATGCAGGCACCAACCTCAGCAATGTTCTCTCAGCCTTTCTTCCCCTACTGCAGCATTGCTGTTTACTGTTCTGTTAATGTTTCAGCAGTGCCTTACAGTGCTAGGTACAATGCACTGTACAGTGGTACCGCTGGTTAAGAACTTAATTCGTTCCGGAGGTCCGTTCTTAACCTGAAAGTGTTCATAACCTGAGGTACCACTTTAGCTAATGGGGCCTCCTGCTGCTGCCACGCCACCGCCACACGATTTCTGTTCTCATCCTGAGGTAAAGTTCTTAACCTGTGGTACTACTTCTGGGTTAGCGGAATCTGTAACCTGAAGCGTCTGTAACCTGAAGCGTTTGTAACCCGAGGTACCACTGTAATGCATGCTCATTATAAACTCTAGACTAAACTATTGCTGTTACACTAAAGAATTTACAGCTCTGCTGTAATAGCTGTTACACATCTGTAGCCAGAAATTTATCGTTTTGGATCAATACACAATTCAGCCCCTCTCGCCTTTTTCTAATTAGCCACTTCTCCTTTGAATATTTTACTTATCTGCCTCCTTGCACCATTATTTCCTCTTGCCGCAGCCTCGCATATTGGCCCATTGCTTCAGTATGTGGATCTTTTCCTTCAATAGGCAGAGAGTTCTGTGGTGTCATAGCAGCTCACACCATGATTGGAGAGGGGGCTTGCAGATCCACAGGGTAGCGGACGGGATCATGGAGGAATGCAACTCTAGTACTTTTCACATAGCAGGAGCTATGATATGGTATCACTGCTTTTGCTTGGGCACCCTGTGTAACTTCCAAAACAAGGATGCTTGCTTGGTGAGTGGATGTATTTTGAGTGCCAGGGAAGATAACCAGTTTCAGGTGGCATCCGGGAATTCAGATGACACACAGCAAACACCGTCACTTCTTTACCTCCCACCATTGCAATGTATTCTAGGAGAATTCTGTTTGTAGAGTAAGCATAAAGGATCCCTTTGCATCCCTAGGCAACTGGGTAGCTGATTTGCAAGCTGCTCATGCTTGAATTCAGAACAAATTGATTTTCAGCATTGCTTGCATTGCTTGACAGGTATGTCCGAGCCCAGCAAAGTGTTTGCTGGCTTGCATACTCATTTGCTTATCTGGGCTTGTCTCTGTCCACTGCATCTTTTGAGGTATTGAAAGTGGGGAGGGGGGGATAAAAATAACTGGAGGCTACTATGATTAGACACTGGCTTCATTCCATCCCTCCTACCAATTCTGCCCTTGCTTTGCACCTGCCAACACTAAACTGTCCACTCTTCTAGTTTAGCACTCCAGTGAAGAAACAAAAGAATACTAATCTCCCATTAAGGTTTTCCCTAACAAACACATGAAACAAAAAAGTTGTCCTTACATATGACTGGTTCATACAAATAAACTTTGTTTATTTTAATATATGGTTATGCTATTGGACATGTAACCAAACAGAGAAGCTGTGTGTGTGTGTGTGTGTGTGTGTGTGTTTGTTTGTTTGTGTGTGTGTAGGTGTGTATAGGAATTGACCCAATCTATGGAGACTCCTTTATCCATTTTTCATGTGTGCACCTGCTCTTTCTTCAAGTTACCACAATTTAAGGAGATGCCTTCCATCATTCCCCTATGTGGTCATTTAGGTTCAAGTGAGATCTTCTCCACGCAGCTGTGTGGTGCCACCACACCTGGTGGCTGCCTGCTTGGACTTGACCCATGAGAGGGCCTTTTCATGGAAGGTTGTGGAATGCCCTCTCTGGTGAGGTGTATCTGTCTCTCTTCTTATTGATGAGGGAATTAAAAAATAACTGAGAGTGTTGGTTGAGAGAATGTCTGTCTGTCTGTCTGTCTGTCTGTCTGTCTGTCTATCTCTCTATCTATCTGTCTATCATCTATCTATCATCATCATCTACTATTATAGATGTGTTTGCCATCCTGGCATCCTTGAGAATTAAGGATAGGATATAAATTGTAATAATAATAATAATAATAATAATAATAATAATAATAATAATAATAATAATAATGTAATCCAAGTGGAGAAAATCAACACAGATTCTTTGTTTGAACGGTGCCTCAGCCTCCATACTACTACAGTGGTACCTCGCAAGACGAAATTAATTCGTTCCGCGAGTTTTTTCTTCTTGCGAGTTTTTTGTCTTGCGAAGCACGGTTTCCCATAGGAATGCATTGAAAATCAATCAATGCGTTCCTATGGAAACCGCCTTCAGACCAGGTCCGGGGACAGTCTGTCCCCCGACCTCTTCTGAAGGCTGGGGGGGGGCAAGGGCTTTTCTTCCCACCGCCAGCCTTCAGAAGGCTGTTCTGAAGGCTGGCGGTGGGAAGAAAAGCCCTTCTCCCCACCTCCCGCCCCGCAAGCTCCGGGGACAGGAGGGCTTTGCTGCCGACCGCCAGCATTTTAAAAGCCCCCGGGACAGCGGTGATTTCTCCGCTGTCCCGGGGTGATTTTAAAATGCTGGTGGGCGGCAGCGAAGCCTCCGCTGTCCTGGGGCGATTTTAAAATGCTGGTGGGCGGCAGCGAAGCCTCCGCTGTCCCGGGGCGATTTTAAAATGCTGGCGGGCGGCAGCGAAGGCTTCGCTGCCGCCCGCCAGCATTTTAAGATCGCCCCGGGACAGCGGAGAAGTCTCCGCTGTCCCGGGAAGGCAGGCGGGGGGGAGCAAAGACCTTTGCCCCCCGCCGGCCTTCAGAAGAGGTCCAGGACGGGGGGGCGGGCAGCTCAGAGACCAGGGAAGGCAGCAGCTGTTGCCCAGGCAACTCCCAAGGAATAGGGGAGAGAAGGCTGAGGGAACACTCCACAAGGGAGGGTGTTCAAAAAACGGTGAGAGGCTGCTGGCTCTGCAGGCAAGTGGTGACATAACTGGGTTCCTGAGCCCCACACGGGTGCCACAGAAAGAATGTTGTTGGTTAAAGGAGCTGTGGGCTCAAAAAGGTTGAAAACATCTGATTTAAGAGATATTATAAACATCTAAGTAAAATGATTAATGCCAATATACAGATAAAATCAGCAGACTTTTAAATAACAAAATTATATGCCTGGATACGCTTGCTAAAAGAAAAGAAAAGTTTTTAGCTTATTTTCAGCTGCTCCTTTATGTTCTGTAAACAATCAGTGGATGCAGTCCAGGCATGATTCTGTGTGCATGTTTAGCTGCCATAGTAAGCAAATGGCTGGGGGAGAGGGAATCTATACTTTTAGCCTTCAGTTTCCTCTGACTGCTTTGGTTGCTTTCTGACCCATATAATCAAAATTTACTTATATCAACATACTGTAGTCCCCTTGCCTTATTCTGTCCATCTGCTCAGTTGCCCACTTTTTTCTTCTTCTTCTTCTTTTGCAATTGACACATATTGGATTCCTCTTCAGAGAAGCCAGATGCTTCTGGCTCACCTGCCTGTTCAACTGCCTGTTGACAAAATGAGCAAACCTCCCTGTGGCTCGGAATTCATAACACACTGTCAAACAGAGTTTTCCAAATGGTTTCTCTTTGTCACTTCTTGCCAGATTTTAGTATACCTTATAAAAATGCGCAGTTCAGTCTTCTGTTTCAGATCGTTTCTGGCTGAAAAGGTGTGCAATAGAATCAGGGCACGCTGTGAATATTCTTTTAACAGGGGAGGAAAATTTCCTGTTGTTTTGATCATAGGAATACCAATAGGCCTAACTTGTGTCTTCCTTAAATTCATCAGTTCAGCTCAGTAGTCTTTTTTCTTTTTAAAGTTGTGAACCATAGCAAAAACAACAAAAAAGTGATTGGGGGGGGGGGAACCATGGTTAGCACCAGTGTTATATTAAAGAGATGTGAGGATCCCATTAGGACTCAAATAATAAATGGATCAGCGATTATGAGCCAAATTTGTGAGCATCCCCACTGCAAAGAAGATTTACGTTTCAAAAAGTATACTGTTTGTTCCAGGACTTGAAATATATGAGGGTGGTTTAACTAAGAGGTAAGGCTGACAAAGAAATGAAAGGGAAAGTGCACAATTCTGAGACTGGCCCCTGATTTGCAAAGAGCTCTGGATCACATCCAAGTCAGCAATTTGAACATGGGTGGGACAGTCATAAGGTTTGAAATACTGGAATTTATTTGGAATTTATTACTTGTATCCTGGTTTCTCATCCATTAACATGTTATTGCCATCATATCCCTATGATTGTCTCCACAAGCACAAAGTGGTATAAAAGCTCTTTTAAAAACAGCAACTGGAACTCAGCGCCGTCGTTACCTCGGGGTGCAAGCGGTGTGGGGCACCTGGGCACTGAATTCTGGGAGGGGGCGCCAGGTGCCCATC